GCGGGTAGGAGGGGGCTGGGCAAGGTGGGGGCTTGTTAGGGACGGGACGGTGGGCAGCCGCTGCTCTGGGGAGATCCGATGAGCTCCGTGGCTTTTTGCTGGGTTTGCTGTCATTTCACCTGAAGGCAGAACTCCGGGGAAGTGCGCACTTGCAGGAGAAGGATGAGTTGGATCTGGACCGCAAGTCAAGGCAGGGTCGCTGCGCTGCCCCTGAGTGACGGACCTTGGATAGTGAAAGTGGAGGAAGATTCACCCGGAGGTGGGGAGTCCGACCCACCAGGGGACTGTCCGGATCCCGAAACTTCCCGACGGCATTTTAGGCGGTTCCGTTATCAAGAGGTGGCCGGACCCGAAGCGGCGCTGAGCCGACTCAGGGAACTTTGTCGTCAGTGGCTGAGGCCCGAGGTGCACTCGAAAGAGCAGATCCTGGAGCTGCTGGTGCTGGAGCAGTTCCTGACCATCCTGCCCCAGGAGCTCCAGGCCTGGGTGCGCAAGCACTGCCCGGAGAGCGGGGAGGAGGCTGCCGCCTTGGTTTGGGCTCTACAGAGAGAGCTTGATGGGACCTTACGCCAGGTGAGGGGTGAACGTTTTCTGGTGGTGGGAATGGAGGTGTGAGGGATGCTGTGGTCTTCATAAGTTCTTTCCTTATTACATTTTGCGTGAACTTTAGGATGTGTATGAAACATGAGCCCTTTAACCTAATGGGACGTCACACCATCTCCAGGTAGGTAGGGTCAGAGTTGTTAAACCGTAGGACACCCAGCTGGTGCCGCAGAATTGCCTGACCTGTGGAAATGCACACATCTGGTGTCAGAAGTGAAGGAGTGTTGTAGTGAATATTCAGAATACTGAGAGCAGAGGAGACGCACAGGAGTGTGGTTTTCCTTTACAAGGAAAGGAGAGCCTCAGGGGAAAACACATTACTGCTGTTGGTGAGGTACCTTCCTCTGAAGATAGATCTTTGTATCCATTTCACAGGTGAGGAAACAGCGTCTGAGAGCCAGCACTGCAACTCGGGACTCTGGTTAACCTGTATATTTTCAATCCATATCAGGTTTCTGCTTTGATAAATCACAGCAGTATAACCCAAATGAATATTTTGCTCTCCCCCCAAGTTAGTGTAGACAGTTCATAGAAAGGCTTTTCAGGATTGCAGGAGAATGCCAGCTTCTGTTTTTAGTCACTTTGCAACTCCCGCATCAGTACAAGGCTCACTGATAAAGACTCCGTTGGTCGTGACTTGGTTTCTCAGCGCTCACAGACTCCTCTCTGGAGGCCGGCTTCATCCTGGCACTGTTGGTGATGCCATCCTGGGACGGCAGGTGCTGAGGGAGGTCTTGTGTTGTTTCAGGGGTTGGTGACAGTCCAGGATGTGGCTGTGTCTCTAACCTGGGAGGAGTGGGAGCGACTGGGCCCAGCACAGAGGGACCTCTACAGGGAGAGTGCGCCGAAGGATTATGGGAATGCAGTCTCGCCAAGTAAGTGCCCTGCCTTTGCTTGTTTCCAGCTGTGTGATTCGTGGAGGGCTTGCTTCAGTAAATCCCCCAGCCAGCCTGCCATTCAGACACAGGTTGAGAGATTTCGAGTCCCCTTTGTGACCCAAGCAAGACCTCTCTGTTCTGTATTGTTAGGTGATAGAGACAGCTTTTTATTTTGGTTCACTTTTAAATAAAAATACGTAAGAAAGTATAAAAACATATAATGAGCACCTGAGGATTAACCACCCAGATTTATCGAACTTTAATATTGGCCATGGCTTCATTTTTTTCTTTTCTGAAGAGATATTATATTACAGCCATAGCTATAGGTGAAGGTCTGTTGTACCCTCCCTGAAAGCTCTACCCTTGATCCTTCTCCAGCGGTAACCAGTATCCTGACTTACCATTTCCATGCTTGTTTTATACTCTTTCTACATATACATGTAGCCACATATACACACTCGCTCTATATAAATGTATGTAAACACGTAAATATGTAAACATATAAACGTATATAGTATTTTTACATGTTTTTATAGTATATAAATTATATCACTGTATGGTTCTTTTGCACCTTGGCTTTTTTCTCAACATACATTTTTGGGATTTATCCATGTTGATACGTGTAGCTCTAGTTTATTCATTTTAACTTCTATATATTTCATTGTATGACTATTCCAATATTTACTTATCCATTCTCCTGTCAATGGACGTTAAGCCTTCTAGTTTTTCACCATTACACACAGTATTATACCACAAGTTCCTGTCTCTTTCTCCCTGTGTTCATATGTAGGAGTCTCTGAAGAGAATATACTTAGGGATGTTTGCCCATCTTGCTGTCCAAGATGATGGGAGCCAATTTGTACTCCTACCAGCCGTATATGAGAATTCTTCTTTCTCCACACCTTTGGCAACATTTGGTGTTCAGCTGACAGCACGATGTCTTAACCCAGTAGCCCAAGTGTTCCTTTTAGAATGTTGGTTTGCATCACACCTCTGCTCAGAACCTGAATACTCCTCATTTCATGCAGAGTAAAAGCCTGTGGAGCCTGATGGGATGTGGCTCTGTTCCCTCCTGCTCTCCCCTCACTTATGCCCCCGGCCCCCAGCCTCACTGACCTTGCTGCTCCTTGAGCGTGGTGGGCATCCTGCCTCATGCTCTTTGCTCTGATTGCTCCCTCTGCCTGGAATATTATTCCTCCAGATCTCCACCAAATAGATTCCCTGACTTGTTTCAAGCCTGTGCTCACATCTCACTTTTCGGCGAGGCCTGACCTGACCGTCATGTTAATACATGATTCCTGCCATCAGCCACCTCACAGATCCCTCGCCTTGCCTGACGTGGTCCATAGCATTTATTACCCTCTGACATCCTATATATTTGACTTTATGTTCATCTATTGTCTGACCACCCCTTCTGGAATGTCAGCTCCACAGGGGGAAGGATTTTTGTCTGTTTTGTTCATTTATATCCCAAGTGCCAAGATAGTGCCTGGCACAGAGTAGGTGCTCAGTAAGTAATACTGTTAGGATTAATGAATGGTGTATCCTTATCTCCTCTCCTTTCCTCCACTATCTTTTAAATTGTTTTGTGGCTGTTCTTTGTGTTTTTGATACTAATCCTTTGTTATTTTATTGGTTATAGGCGTGGCTTGTCTTTCTACCCATGGCGTTTTTGTTATATAAAATTTTGAAATTTTAATATAGTCAAATTTTTCAATCTTTTACTTTATGGTTTGTGTTTTTCCAATCTTCTTAGGAAAATAGGCCCTTCTCAATCCTGATGCCAACTTTGCAGAGACACAACTTTAAAATCTTTTCACCCCTTCCAGTGGTATTTATTTTCATATTTCTAAATAAGATGCTTATTCTGCTGGGGTTTTTTTTCTCAGTTTCAGTTATTATCTTTTGACTGCCTGCTAAGGAAGACAGGGTCCTGTCTCCCCAGCATGCTCACATTTAGCAGTCTGTAATTCTCTCAGCATAGTTGAATCAGTCTGTTTTTGTTAAGGGAATGTTTCAGTATTATGCCTATATAAATATTATCTATATTCACCCACCTAATATGTATGACTGTAAGTCTTTTCCTTTACAGCTTTTAGTTTTTCCCAGAATTAATAATGCCTCATTCTGCACGTGCCTGCTTTCCTAACTCCTGAGCACCAGTTCACCCACAAACTCTCTGTTAGAAATGTAAACCCCTCTCAGTAAGTTCAGATTCATCAGATGGGCCATTGGTTTCATTCTCCCCTTGGAGAGTTCCTCCTCAAGCTTCCTCTGCTCCAGGCTGGATGGGCTTCTCCAGGTCAGTTACACAGCTGTTGTCCTAGAACATTCCTTCACTCTCACCTTTTTCTCTTTCCCGGATCCCATACGATTTTCTTCCTTGGTTTACCCCCTCCATTTGATATAGAACGGCCTCCAGTATATTACAGAGAACATATACTTGGGAACTCAGTGCATGTCTAAATGCCTTTATTCCTTTCTCACATCCAGATCATGGTGTGGCTGGATGTAGCATTCTACTTTAGAAATGACTCTACGTTTGAATTTTGAAGATGGTGGATTTTGTAACTAGCTTGCCATGTTGCAATTGAGAAATCTGACGCCACTGTGATATTTTATCCTTGGTGTGTGATCTGTTCTGTGCAGAAGACTTTAGGAGCTTTTCTTTATTCCTGCT